CCCTCTGTGAACAGTAAACAGCCATCAGTGTGCTAATGATCCATTGTTAGGCTGATGGTCCTTCTTGAGCATGTGATCAGCTGGTTTTGGTTGTCAGCAGCAAAACTGATTGATCCACTCTGAGAAGGTGCTATTTAAGAGACTGAGCTGAAAACAGCACCTCAGACTGAGGAAGTCTCTCAGATGAGAGACGAAACGTTTCTACATTTTTTTGTTGATTTGCATTGTTTTGTTTTTTTTGAATGTCCAGAGGACCAGATTGAACTTTTTTGGATTTTTCTACCTGGATTATTGAGCATGCATCAGGATAAAGGTGCATTCACTCATTTTTATTTTAAAAATGAGTGAATGCACATTTAAAATATATAAATCCTGCCAAATGAGCATTTCCAACATGTCTGAAGAATACATATTTAGTCATTTGCTGGCTTGTACGATGATAATCGTTAGCTTGTTGAATCATGTTTTCTTGTTTAGGACGTTTAAAACAAAATGTTTGTGCTGAGACACCACATGGTGTACCTGCAGGTTGTAAACTTGTCTTCTGGGTCTTTTCAGTGCCAGCTGGAGGGACACCTGTGGAGGCAGCGTTTGCAGGAACAGATCTTGCAGCGTTGGTTTTGATCACTGAGCCTTGGTTCTGAGAGCCCGTTTGAGAAAGCCTACTGGGACCGGGTAGTCGGCCAATGACGTAGGCCGCGAGGCGGTTAGCTGGATGCAGAGAGCCAATGTTTCCAAGAGCCAGTCTGGCATAATTATAGTGTTTGCCATTAACCTAAAAACAAAAATATATTATGAAGTTCAACGAATGTAAAAATGAGCATTTATTGAAAAATATGCTTTTCTGTTAATGTAGCTGGATGCAACCAAAAACATTAAAGTTTTACAAAACTTCACTTTCATTAGAGAACTTCAAGAGACACTTGGGCCATTTAAAAGTAGGATTCTATGGAAAAGTTGTAGAAAAAGACTTACCAGCTGCAGATAGTCAACGTTTCTACACTTTTCACTTGTTTACAGACTCAAATATTCTGTCAATTATTAGTCTTTTGTAAATCAAAATATACATACATTTATTGTAATTGGTAGTTTTTATGTGTATGCTTATGTTTGTTCCTTAAATTATTTTAAATTGAATAAAAACAATAATAATCAAAATTTGAGACATTACTACAGATAATAGTTCTGTTTTTTTTCCTAGACAAAATATTTCTGATCAGGATTTTACACATTACACTCACTCCAGCATGCTAAACTGACAAAACATGTATTTATATTTAATATCTACAGTTAAACACGAGTGTAAGCTCTGATTAAAGTCATTGTAGTTGATTTTTTTATATAAATAGTAGACAACAAAGAATGAACAGTTTTTGCCCATTTCTATTTCTGCAAGTTCTCAGCTCTAGTGGTAAAACCAAAGAAAGAAATATGAGGAAGCTTCAGTGTGAAAAATACTTCCAGAAAATTTAGGTTTATTTTATTTTATTTTATTTGGGGCTGCAGTAGCTTGGTCAGTGCCGCGGTCTTGTAACCCTGACGCTGCAGGTTCGAGCCCAGGTTGCGTTAGGCATAAACAAATAGTCAAACCTTTCATGGGAGTTTGCTCAAGGCCCCTGAAGAAGGGAGCAGCCGAAGAAACGTAATTTATTTAATTGAATTTTATTTATTTATTTTTAATGAAATAAGCAACAATATCTTAAAAGAAACTCCCTCCTCCCCCCCCATACTCGTTTCGATACTTATCAGACCTGGAAAACACTAATTCAATCCTAGACTTCAAATCTGTGCAGGAACCCTGGATCACTGAACAGTAGCCAAGAGTTAAATCCCAACATGATGCTGATTATTGGCTGGTCCCAGTAAGGACTAAACTGGATCGCTGTAGTTTAAAAATACAGTAGTCCCTCGATATTTCGCGGTTCGACTTTTGTGCATAGTGATAGCTGAACATGGGCACCAGTGCCCCTCGCGACCCAAAAAAGGAAGAAGCGGGTAAAAGATAATAGATGGCTGTATCGCCAGTCAAAAGAACTACACTACCCAGAAGCCAACAGTGCCTCCAGCTGCTGCTTTTTGCCCAAATGGAGGGAAAGTTTTGCAACACAAAGACAGAAGTAACAATCTATTGAGCTCACAGAACAGGCAGGAAAGTCACAAATAATCCTGAAGCTCAATTGTCCACGCGCACATCAACCTGAATGGGGTGGTGGGCTTCATCGGTGCAGGGTAGGTCTGCAGAACCGGAACCGAGCTCGCTACTGTTCTGCAGAGCTGGTGAGTAAAATTTTGCAGTACTGTACAGTACATATGCGTATGTTATTAAAATAGGTTTAAGAGTTTAGAACACCGGAAGAGTGTGTGATGGGTTTATAAAGCCTTAAAATATATATAAATACTAAAATAAATACAATGTTCCTACTTGGCCGTTTTTCACCCATCGCGTGGGGGTGTGGAATAATCTAGGGACTACTGTAGCTCCAACTTCGCTGCAGTTCACACACGCTTACCAACGTCGTAAAGGTGGCACAGCTGAAGCGTATTATTATTTAATATATGTAAATAAATGTCTACAAAAACAAACCTAAATATATGGGGTTTTTTTTTACATTTATTTTGTAGTTACAGCTGTTTACTAATAAATGTGGCTGTGTGACAACTGAGACAAAGCTTCAACTCAGAAATATATTTTTATTACTTTATGGAAAGAAAAAAAAATTGAGATATAAATTGTATATCGATATTTATCTTAAAATATCAAAATATTAATTTTGGTCCATGTCGCCCAGTCCTAGTGAATATAATTAATATTAAAATAATCGTTTTTTATTTCAACTCAACAAAACCACCAATTCCCTAGTTTTCTTGCCGCTGTAATTTTTTTGACTAAACAGTTTTCACGCTGAGGTAGGTTTTTTTTTTTTTTTTGTTATGGTTCTTTTAAAAGATACCTCCACAAGTCCAGTTGCTTTGTAGCCGATGGGTCTTTTCCTAGCACTCAGAGAGCCGGCAGGTACTGCGCCTCTCAGGAAGGGCGTGACGCCGTACCACAGCTCTGGATCCTCAACCAGCTCATCTTCCTCCTCTGCATCAACACTCTCATCACTGTTATAGTCATACTCAGAGTTGTCTTCTGCTTCACAGTCACTGACATGGGTTGGTTTACTGATCTGGACCTAGGAGCACGTGGAGAACAAATTTAATTTAGTACAAACTTGAAACAAATGTACACACTATAATACTCTGTAAAGTATTTATAGTAATATTCCTGTTAGGTAACATTTATGGACAAGAAAGGTGAGCGCACTCTGTAGGTGATGAGTGAGCCGCTGGGTTTCTGCAGGGTGACTTTAGTGACCGGGACGATGCAGTAAGGTCCAATGAAGAAACGCTGACAAAGCCGATTCCGATTCATTCGTTCACACAAACCTTCCAGGACCATTTTACGGTCCCTCTTCCACTGACACAGTGAGCGTATCTGGATCTGCTTCCTAGTTTCTTTTTCACTAAATGCGTTTTCCTGAGAACATTGTCCTTCTGAGGGGACAAAGAAGATGAACAGAAATGAATATCTTAAAAAACTAGAATGAAACAGATAAGACTGAGTCATTTTCATTACCTGCTTTATAACTTATCAATACAGGTCTGTTTTTAGATACGTTGTGAGATAAGTTGAGGGGTTTTGTTGCATCCTTTGGTCCAAGATTAGCAGCAGAGAGCTCAGACTCCAAGGTGAGCAAAGGAGGAGGCTGGCTGTTGACCGCTCTAACACGAGCGCAGGTCATCTTGCTCTCCAGGTACCTGTACACGGGATCCTTATCCTCTTCACGTATCTGAAATTAGGATTTCAATTAAAGACGATAAGAAAGAGACGGAACAAAACTATACATCGCACCTTAAATAAATATATTTCAAGAAAAACTTTATTTTACCGGTGGCGGTGGATTGGACGCACAGCGTTTTGGGACTTTTGGTGGGACCAAAGATTTTTGACTTTTAGGAACATTAAGTGAATCTGGATCTGGATCACAAGTGTTGAGTTTCCACAGTTTAGTAGCACTGAAACCCAGGCGAGACTGGGCTGTCGGCTCCATGTGGGTCGTAACTGGGGAGGGACAAAAAGCCTTGTGTTAACGTTTTAGAAGTCAATTAGATATAAAAAGCCAGAAAACAGAAAAAACAACAAAACTAAAACAAAAAAGATCATTAGATCTGTAGGAGTAAAAAAAACTATAATAGAGAGGTATACTGTATTAAAACGAAAGCATGCTGTGACTTGGGCCTTTACAATAAAGTCACAAATAGAGTAAATAAATTAAATTTGATAATTATTCCCTGAAGGAATGTTTAAATGAAGATAATTTTAGGCTTTTTGGATAAATGTTGGAAAAAAAAATTGTTTTCATTCATTCATTCAACTTTTATTTAGACATGTTAATCCCATTGAGCCTCGGGGACTTGTTTTGTTGGGTGATACGAGATTGAGCACAATCTGTAAGAGCTCAGAGTATGTGCTGGGATTGACTCTCAGCTACTCCTAAAACAATTGTTAGCTCAATATCTGTAAGTGTATCTGTTTTTTTATTTGTTTTTATTGTAATATCTGTGTCGCAGACTTCTTTTTTCTTCTAAGGTTGACTAGCGGTGGCAGCCATCTTGAACTGATTTGACTCCAAACGTTCATCAGTTGTAGATACACGTCTAATGATTACTTGCTCAAAATTTCTTTAAATCCATCCCCTAGTTTGTGAGATATTTTGCTAACACACACACACAGACAAATACATTACGTTTTGCCTTTTGACAGGGAGCAATAGTAGCAGACTGGGTCTGTTCCTCAGTCTCTCCCAGATTAAACTGTTTGGTGATCTTACTGTCAGAGCAGGTACAGTCAAACATGCACTCGGGCCGTTTGCAGTGGACACGTTCTTTTTCCCGATGCTGGAGGCTGGAGCACACACAACCCAGTCTGCAGAACTCTTGGCCACATTCAGGTCCCGCATCGGCAGGTGGCAGCGGAGGTGAACTTAAGAGCTGATGGGGTGGTGTCTGATTAAAGACAGAATATTTGGTTACTTCAGGTACACAAAGCTGGTAAACACTTTATTTTTCAGAGTAAAAGCATACCTGATTAGTCAGAACTGCAGACAGAGCCGTTGTTAGTCGTTCTGGAGTCAACTGGGTTCTGCTCAGGCCCTGGTTCAAGGCTCCGGTCTCCAGAAATGACAGTTTAAACTGATCCTTGAAGAGGTTTGAAGCATTCTGTGGCCACACCTGGTCCTGACCCAGCCTTTGTGCAGACGTATTACAGATCCCCGCTTGGTTTGTCAATAACCTGAAGCAAAAGGAAAGACCAGACTGGTTGAAATCACAGCTCCAAAACCACAGATAAATGAAAATGATCTACCTAATTTTCATTTATCGTCTTTATCGATTCTTCGCGTCTCTCTTTTTCTACTGAAGACACTGGATGACAAAAAGCTCAACTCTGGTGCTCTTCACCGACCTCTCCCTTTCTCCTTTCTCTTTAAAATCTGTTTTAACCGTTCAAAATCGGTTTTTGGATCGTTAAATGCAGCTAAGCCGAGAAGCTAAGCTACCAGCTGAGCTAACAGGGCGACTTCGGGAAAAAACCTCCGTCTTGTCAAAGCTCCAAAATTCACGGTCGAAACCCGTGCCTTCGTGTAAAAAGTTGTTTTTCCACTGCAAAAAGAAGATGAGAACTTGTTTATTGATTTTATATTAAAAGCTTTGTGTGAAAAATGCTATGCTAAAGAGCTCAAATCACTGAGCGTACGGCATTTTGAGAACCGAAAAACAAGGAGAGACAACCCATGTCACATCAAGGGGCCTACCTCCCATTTTTATTAGACACACGCTGCTCGCTCCCTCACTATCCATCCTTCGGTTCAGTTTTATACCGCCATCCAGTGGTCAAAAGGTAGTACAAACTAAAATTTACAAACGTTTCTTCATTACATTCATAACATTACTAATTAGTCAAATTTTAAACAATATTATCATTTATTGCAATAATTTCCGAGACAATCGTCCAGCAAAATTTGTTATTGTGACAGGCCTAGTTGAGATCATGACATTCTGTGCTCTTTTAGAGTGTTTATGAATATGGTCTAGAAACATGCCTGCTGGAGGTCATTTTGTTGGGCCCTGGCAGTGGACCTCCTGTTCCTCCTTGCACAAAGGACGAGGTAGCGGTCGTGTTGTTGGGTTGTAGCCCTCCAACGGCCCCCTCCATGTCCCCTGGTGTATTGGCCTGTCTCCTGGTACCTATTTCATGCTCTGGACAATGTGCTAAGAGACACAGCAAATCTTCTTGCCACCGCTTGCATTGATGTTCCATCTTGGATTAGCTGCACTACTTGAGCAACTTCAGTGGACTGTAAAAAAACGCCTCGAGATGCCTCTATGCGTGACAGCACTGACAAAATGAAAAAGTGACTAAAAGTTCAACCAGAGAGGATGAGAACAGAGAAATGACCTGTGGTCACCACCTGCAGAATCACTCTTATAGGGGTCTTGCTAATTGCCTCTCATTTCACCTGTTGTGTGTTCCACTTGCACAGCAACAAGTAAAACTGATTCACAATAAGTGTTACTACCCAACTGGTGGCACTGATTCCACAAACTGATTTGGAGTTACATTCTTTTGTTTAGGTGTTCCCTTTATTTTTTTGAGCAATGTATATTTGAGATGAACCATCCCAAAGATCCAGTACCCCGGCACAAACAGAGTAATGTTGTGTATACTGTTCAGTGTCAGGAGGGCTGTGATCAGTCTTACATCGGGGAAACTAAACAGCCACTGGCCAAAAGGATGGACCAGCACAGAAGAGCAACACCATCAGGCCAGGATTCTGCAATTTATGCCCATCTGCAGGCAGTGGTCACTCTTTCAGGGATGAAGATGTTCACATCCTTGATAGAGAGAAATGCTGGTTTGAGAGAGGAGTAGAGGAAGTCAACTTTGTGAAGAGAAACGTCCATCATTAAACAGGGAAGGAGGCCTCCATGTCCACTTGTCCCCTTCTTTACAATACTGTTCTTGCTAGTATCGCTCAGCCCCCTGTGAATAGCCAGTGGCCATCAGGGCACTTAAACCCCCAGTATACTCCATACACAGAGGTGCGCACGTACGTACGCGGAGGTACGAGCATAACCCCCACGGCATGTCCGTGCAAAGCTCAATTTTTACGACCGCATTCGTGTACGCGATGTCGCACAATAAACTGCCCAGCGACGGACTGTTTTGTATGCGACACCAATGTATTAAATTCCCCTTCTTCATCTCTGATCTGGCCTTTTCTTTTTTTGCCAAGAGGCAGTGATCTCTTCCTCCTCCATTAATGCCATGACTGAAATGGTGAGAAATGGAGGAATTTGTCACGAGCAAATTAAACTCAGGTCCAGTGTGGCTGCGGGAGGATCTGGAGATTTCCTGGTGGGCTGCTCTGATGTGTGGGCTGTAGAGCCAGCGCTCCCTGTTTTTTTTTTTAAGATCTTTTTATTAGCAACATATAAACAAAGAACACCGCTGTGGCTGAGGCTGCCAGCGCTCTTTTTTCCCCCCTGACCTGTCAATCAATCTAGTAGGCGTGTCAGCAAATGACCAATCGGCGACCTCAATTTGTCCCGAAGGTAAACGCCCCTTGTTTGTGAAGCTGCTCTGCAGCTGCTTGGGGTGTACGCTGGAGTATCATGTCTGAACCCTCTGTGTATAGTACACGCGTACGTACGCGTGAACGGACGTACGCAGCAGTATACTGGGGGCTTAATCAATTGTTAGGCTGATGGTCCTCCTTGATCATGTGAACAGCTAGTTCTGAATGTCACCAGCAAACTGGTTGATCCACTATGAGAAGGGGCTATTTATAAAACTGAGTTTAATGCAGCTCCTCAGATTGAAGGTCTTTTGGATAAAAGACGAAATGTTTTAACAACTTTTTTTTTTTATCTGTCCAGAGGACCTGACTTAACTTTGTTTGATAAGTTTTTATTGCTTTATTTATTTTTAACTTTGTGTTTCTGAAGATCTTCGTGTTTGGTAGCAAGTTATGCTGGAGAACCTTGATACCACACACACAATAATACAAACTGCGGTCCCCAACGATATGATGACAACACACAAAAGGGACTAAATGTTTAGAACTAACAAGATAAATCAGAAACAAACGCACCTTTGTGAAGTGTAGCTGTTGTAACTACATCCAGAGGAGGAGTCCGGGTGCGTGACTGAAGATCTAGACTGAGGCTCAGCTGGATTTTGTCGTTGGGGGCTGCTCAGATGGGAAGCCTGTGACCTCAGAGACGAATAAAGTAGGGGTTTGCGAGAAAGGGGGCACGGTCTGCAAGGCCTTTCTGGGATTTTGAATGCGCCGTTTCGATGCTTGAGTACGCTATCCAGGGTCTTTACGTAGCTTGAACTCTTGGCTGGCAGCTGATAGGACACAGAGTCCTCCAGGTTCAAGGAGAAGGCAGCAGCTCGATCACTGATTTGCTGAGCTTCACTTTCCAAGTACTCATCCAACATGTTGCTGCAGAAGGCAGACAGGTTCTTTGGAGATTCTTTAGGGGATAAAACAAAAACAAAAAAACAGAACATTTTATTTATTACAGAAGAATAATAAAAACAACAAATATCTTGAGTCTGGTTTCAGTTTAGGTAATCTTTCAGTAATTATAGAACAGCTGCACTAATCCCTGATAAAAATGATCCCGAAGCTACAAGACGACAAATCTTACCATTACAATTAGAAGCTGATGTTTCATGGCTCTTTGTAAACTTGTTTCTCCATCCCTTTATTTTAGTCATGTCACTTGTCTTTCCAGTTCTGGAGATAAAAGGTAATCCCTCATCTGTAAAATAAAGACACCAACCGCATAAACCCAGTTAACACTTCACAAAGTACTCAACATAAAAAGGCTTCCTTAATCCTTTAAAGCAATGACGATCAGTCTTGAAAGTCCAGATTTAATCAGTTTCTAAACCATCTACAAATGCTCCAATTTGACTGCAGGAAATCATGATTTTAGGATCTTTTACCCACACTGTTCAGCTGCTGCGTTAATTACAGAAATCAGAGCCTAACCAGAGCTGAGGTACAGTAGTTTTGGGGGTGCAGAAAAAAAAAAATAGATTTTTCGATGAATCTAGATTCTTAGTCCTGGCGATTCTGAATCGTTTCTAAAGGCCCATAAATCGATTTTAAAATGCATTCAAGTTTTGTACTTTTTCCGCTCCTACTCCCCGTTTGGCCGCCATAGAACTGAGCCGTTTAGGCCACCGTACAGCAAGCTAGTTAGCCAGCTCCCTCTATCTGAATGGAGCCTGCTAGCATGGAGGACAACGCGATTCAACCCGCTGCTTCGTCTTTAAAAATCATTCCAGGTCCTACAATGTTCCAGGGGAAAACAGAGCTTCACAAGAGCACAGGTGTTTACAAGAAGCGTAAAATAAAATTGCAGGACAGTATTTTGGAAATACGACAAAATGCATGGAAGATGAAAGCGAAGCAGCCGACCAGCGAACTCTGCAACAAACTTCCAGGTTTCTCCAAAGGCTGTGAAGAGTTCCCTCTCCATCTCCAGCTACATCACAAAGGATTTACGATCAGACAGCTCAGTGGAAGGTGAGGGGTTCAGGTTTATTTTAATACGATGGAATTAAATTCACATTATTCCTTCATGTAGAGTTGTTTTTTGGCTTTTTTTGCAATAAAGCAGCATCACAACTTCACCATGAAACAACAAATGGGAGAAGCTCTGATGCAGCTGCAGCTCAAAAGTAACTGTTATTTCTCATATTATACTAAAACTTATAGACAAGTTGTACAACAAACTTTATGTAATTTGTCTTTTTAACAGGTTGGAGAGGACAGATGAGACACATCACCTGGAGCCAGTTCTAAATGATACAGTTTATGGTTTATAAATTATTACAGTTCAGAAGAGGTTTTTGTGCAAACTTGCACAGGTTTTGAAATTTTGTTAAAGATTTACTAAATTTGAATCAATATAGTTAAGACTGAAGTCTGTATATTTCATATTAGATTAAGTTTTGAAAATATAACAAATGTTAGAGAAATATGGTTAAAAATAACTGGTCTGTATTTTATTGAGTTAAAAGGTTAATATACTATGGTAGGCTGAAGTCTGTTTACTTTTATATTTATATATTTTGAATTATTTGTCTGTGATGGACTGGAAACCTGTTGTTCCCCGCCTCTCACACAGTGATGGCTGATATGGGCACCAGTGACACCCATGACTCGTACAGGTTTGAACAAGTTTTTAACGTGGACGAAACGGGCCTGTCCTGGAAAAGCACGCCATCTCGCACTTTTATTATGAAGGACGAAGCCAAAGCACCTGGTTTCGTCTCATCTTCATCACCTTCGTCGTCATCACCGGACAGCTAACTCTTCATCTCCATGTCTTCTTCATCTTCATCTTCTCTAATGAGTACCCATTTAAGACAAATATATATATATTTTTAAAGGTTTAAGAGTTTAGAAAATTGGGGGGGAGGGCTCGGAACTGAATCCCCACAATAAACAAGGGACTTCTGTATATGTTGCAAAGAGTAAATGTATTAGACAGCATCAAAGTTCATGCTCAATAATCCAGGTAAAAATCCAACGATGTTCAGTTAGGTCATCTGGACGGTTTTTGCTGAGACATTTCGTCCTTCATCCAAAGGACTTCATCAGTCTGAGGAGCCACAAACAAACTGAGTCCCACAAGCAGTACACTCCCATAGTGGGGAAAAAAAAACAGTTTGCTGGTGATAAGATGGTTTCTAGGGCCTGCCCTCTTCCCAATCAACTCCTCGGAGGCAGCCATGCCAAAGTGGTTCAAAACATCAGTTTTTATTAGACGACATTGATCGGCATTTTTGTTTTTTGTTATTTTATCTTTTATTCTCGGAAACATTTCAACTGAAACACCTGTTTTTCCACTCGTGTATTGTTTGCAAAAAGCCGACTGTGACTTCAGCCCAGTGCAGCCTGAAGCACTTCCTTTTAGAAAGTCTTAATATTTCTGCTAGAATATTTGTGTATTGCAGAATTGATGTGTGAAGATCTATAACATAGTGAACATGAACACAGAATGAAATGTTTCAACATGGAGTTGATTTAGGACATAGTCATTAGCTCATTAATCCAGTCAGAATAAACAGATTTCTCCTAAATGGATTCAATATATTTTGATTTAATGGTTTCCCTCTGAACTTAATCATTTACAGCAGGATTCACATTATATCAATTATTAATTCCACAACTCTAGAGTAATACATTTATGAGCAGGTTTTAGTATTAAAGTCATAATCTATTAGTATGCGTTGACATAAGCGGTTTCTGGTTGCCTGAGACAAATTGTTTTTTGTCTCAGGCAACCAGATCTCGCCTCGAGGTTGTCCGGTGGACCTAAGTGAAATAGACATGGATTAAAGTTCTCCATCGTCATGGCAGATTTTTATCATCTGTAAAAACGAAAGGGGAAAACATGTTTTGTTGTGGTCTTTTAAAAACCATCTAATCTAATGATGAAGCAGACATTCATCCAACGCTGCTTTCAACAAGAGAACCAGAGCCACAGTTTGAGCCAATCAGAGCAGAGTAGGTGGGTTGTGTTGTCTGATGCATGGCAGGTGATCAAAGTGTTCCCAGCTTAGAGACAGACTGCAGGTGAGGGCACCAGTTACTGTGTCCTGGACTATAATCTAAGGAGGACACCTCTCTACCCTAACTAAAGATGATATGTAATAAGTTAATAAATGGCTATGTATTAAACGTATGTGTTCACACATGACCAATTCACTGCAGCTGGGGGAGATGCCAGAACTGAAATACCCCCCACACTGCACTCCTACCTCCCCGGGACTTTTGTATCTAAAATCTAATTTTTTTAAATTAAATGTTACTATGTTCAGAGCATCGTCCTCATTGTGCAGATGTGTGCAGCTTCGTGTGACTAAACTTCTGGTCCTCAAAGGAAACAGCGCCACTGCAGGAGCGAGCTCAAACTGTTGGTCTCTCTCATGGTGACAGAGGCTGCGTCTGCTGCTTTAGTTCTTATAATAAAACAATATGAATACTAAAAGATGAATATTCATGTCCCAAATTAAAACAAAAACATGTCTGTTTTAATATCCTCCCAAACTCACAAAATTCTCAGAAGTTTGTAATTTTTCATAAATATCTGCAAAATTCAGTTCATTGTAATATTTTAGCAACAACGACAACAACAACAACAACAACAACGTGTTGTGTGTGTCTGGATGTGATAAACTTGATATTTAGAATCCTACTGAGAGGTAACTACTGTGACTCTTCCTCCAGAAAGATGTTGGTCTTGATGCTGCAGGTTTTCTTCCTACAACTTTAACTCCATCAGAGAACGCTTACTGTATACTTTTACTAAGGTCATGTACACAGTATAATGTGTACTTTTACTAAGGTCATGTACACGGTACACTGTGTACTTTTACTAAGGTACACAGTATACTGTGTACTTTTACTAAGGTTATGTACACAGTATACTGTTTACTTTTACTAAGGTCATGTACACAGTATACTGTGTACTTTTACTAAGGTCATGTACACAGTATACTGTGCACTTTTACTAAGGTTATGTGCACAGCATACTCTATATATATGCAGGAAAAATCTCACAAATGTGTAGTGTTTGGGGGAGGGAGGCGCTAGGGTAAACTCTAGGTGGAGAAATATTTTTTCCGCTTTAATCTCTGCCTTACATAAACTGAGTGCGCCTCTCTTGCAAAATCTGATAACAAGGAAGAGGATGAGGAGAACGAGGAAGTTCCACTCCAGCAGCTGCTCAAAGAGTCGGCCACTCTGTAGCTGGAAAACTCCAAAACAGGCTACAAGATGGCTGACAGAGAATATTTGTACTGTGTATAATAAAGTAAGGTTTTTATTTTCTGCTGCTCTCTTTGTCAGGGGTCACCACAGTGAGTGAACCCACATGAAAGATCTAGCAGTTTGTTTACATCGGATGCCCTTCCTGATGCAACCTACACTGCAGCCCCTTGTGCTGTATACTTTGTATATAGTGCAATATACTTATTACATTATTATTATTACTACATTTTTCTCAACATTTTTTGCCATCTTTATTATAAAAGCAAAGTAAGTAAAGTGTTATGTGTTGTCGTCATTGTATGTTTCTATACAATGACAAAATGAGTTCTTTGCATTTAACACATCACACCTGAGATATATCTAGGTCAGGCATGGGCAAACCCCGGCCCACGGGCCATATACGGCCCATTGGGCTTTTTAAATGGCCCGCCGAAATTGTCCAAAATTTGGTCAATTTAAAAAAAAATAATAAATAAATAAATAAATAAATAAATAAATGTATACTTTATTTTTCAGGGGTGCTTATGCACCCCTCAAAAAAAGTTAAAATCGCCACTGGTTCAAATTATATTTAAAAAACTGAATTTAATAGGAAAAAAAACTGATGTCGTTTTACCTGTAGTTCCAGCATTTCCCCAGTAGAGGTGCACTACAGAAACTGGCGTGTATTACAGGCAAATTAACAGTGGAGAATTTCTTCTTCTACGCTTTTATTTTTACTTTGCCCTAAAAACTTGTCTGTAAAAACATGTTTATCAAAGAAAAGTGTACCATGAGTGCTGAGTGTTTAAAATGAAATGGACAACAACATATTGTTTCACTGAGGTCCAATCAAAAGCTGTTTTTATGCCAAGAAACTGTTGCGGTTTTCAAAAAGTACACTTTACTAACTGCTAACTATGCTAGCAAGCTTTTCTCCGATGGCGATTTTTTTTTAAAGAAACATGGTAAAAACAGAGCAGGTCTATTGTGTCCGGAGGGCCAAGATAAGTTAGAAAAAAATCAGTTTATCACGCAGGACTGTGACTCGCCTTGTGGAACTGAATGATTGAACATGGCCAGCAAAATAAGCTAAAAGGCAGAGAGCCCTTTAAGTTACGGTTTACTGGATGGATGGATGGATTTTTATCTGCGGCACTAACAAAACAGTTTTGAGATAATGGAGGTGTTTTTGACCCTGGAGTCTCTGAAAGGAAAAACACGGAGAGAGGATTTTTATAACTGTCTGGTGTCATGAGAGAATGAAGCTTATGTGGAGTAAAGTTCAGTGTCACAACAGACAGATCACCAAATTTAAGTGGAAAACATGTCGGGCTGCTGACAAGAATCCAGGATAAAGTGAAAAGAAAACCTGGACCAGGATGTTATTTTTCATCCATCAGGAATCACTGTAATTCATGCTTTGTGTGTGAAACCGTTAATTGTGTGTGAGTTATCAAAAAAAAAAAAAAAAAAGTGAAAGACCAAAACGTGTGAATTATTGTGCAGGTACTCTGTTGTGATGCTGCATAGAGGAGCTGCAGGAGGATGACGCCTGCTTCCATTCCCAACCTGCTGACCTGCTGTCATCAACTTTAGATCCTGTAGTTGTAAAAAGTTTTGTGAGGAGTTTGTAGAGGTGAGCTGCCATTTTATTTAGAGTTTTCTCCTATATTCCATTAGCATAGTGAGGTAAGACATTTGTGGTTTGGTGAATTTTATTTTTCTTCAGGTAAGAGAAAATACAGTGGTTTGTTTTGTTTGTTGTTTGGGCCTGAAGTTGGTAAGACTCCACAAAGTCAATAATTTCACTATTGTAAATAAAATCACAGTTCTATCATATAATCCTGACTTAGTGGTTGCTTGAGTGGTGCAGAAGGTAGAATCGCCCATAATTAATAGCGTCCCAGCAGCTGTTATTGCACTGGGGTGTAACATCACACAAACACTCCATCTATCTGTTCCGGGACCCGGCCCTTCGCTCCAATTTCAGAACTCAGTGTGGCCCGCGAGTCCAAAAGTTTGCCCACCCCTGACCTAGGTGGAGCAGTGGGTAGCTATGCAAGCACCCGGGGAGACATTAGGGATTAGGTGTCTTGCTCAAGGACACCATGACATGTGGGCATGGCCAGGAGTTGAACCTGTGACTTCTTGGTCCCAAGTCAGCTGCCCTACCTCTAACCCATCTCGGCCCCTTAATGAGATATCTATAACACCCATCTATACATTGAGTTCTGATGCATGCTCAATAATCCAGGTAGAAAAATCTAACAAGGTTAAGTCAGGTCCAATGGTATGCTGGAACAGTGAAAAATAAGTTTCTGACATAAAAAAAACTAGTGACTGGTGTATCGGATAAAGCCTCCAGTATACTCGGGCGTTCGTGAGTCCGCGGAGGTCCGCGTGTTAAGAGTTGAAACGGATGCCCGCAGGGCATGTCCATGCAAAGCTCAATTTTTACGACTGCGTATGCATACTCTGTGTCGCACAATAAACTGCCCCACGATGGACTGTTTTGTATGCAACACCAATATATTAAATTCCCCTTCTTCATCCCTGATCCGATTTGGTTTTTTTGCCAAGAGGCAAGCAATTTCTTCCTCCTCCTCCATTGAAGCCATGACTGAAATGGTGAGAAATGAAGGAATTTGTCACGAGTGAATTAAAATCAGTTCCAGCGTGGCTGCGGGAGGGTCTGGAGATTTCCTGGTGGACTGGTCTGATGTGTGGGCTGCAGGGCCAGTGCTCCCTGTTTTTTTTTTTTTTAGAACTTTTTATTAACAACATATAAACACAGAACACCGCTGGGGCTGCCAGCTCTGTTTTTTTTTTGTGTGTGTGTGTGTGTGTGTGAGACCTGTCAATCAATCCAGTAGGGGTGTCAGCAAATGACCAATCAGCGACCACAATTTGTCCCGAAGGTAAACGCTCCTTGCCTGCGGAGCTGGTCTGCAGACGCTCAGGGTGGACGCTCGAGTATGAAGTCTGAACCCTCTGCGGACGTGTGCGCCGAGTCCATGCAGAAAAAGGTCTGCACAAGTATACTGGAGCCTTTATACTCAACACATTAAACGGCAATGGGAAATGGAACTAAATGTCGTTTTGGATAATGATTCTTGGGAGAACATTTGTTCTGGTTGCCACAGGGGAGTTGGGAGTGAACTGGAAAGAGTCTGAAAATGCAAAATTAGGTTTTTAGAACACTATTTAGGACTTTTCTTTCTGAGAGTGACGATAATGGTGACTGTTGGAGCAAATGTGGTGTTGTGGGTGACCACACCCACATATTTTGGGACTGCCCCCAGGTGCAGGGCTTCTGGAAAGGTGTCAGGGATGTGCTGGAAAAATTATTGAAGATACAAATCCCTTTTGACCCTTTCATCTTCTTACTTGATGTGTTCCCTGATCACCTCAACCATGATCAAAGTTCTCTGATACATGTTCTTCTTATGAAGGCAAGAAAAATGATCACGGTTAACTGGATGAAACCCGATCCACCAACCATTGAACATCAGATTCCAAAAATAAGACGTGTACATAATGGAACAATTAATGGCTCAACTACAATTAAACATTCAGAGCTTTAAAAGACTGTAGAGACCTATTGTTAACTTTCTTAAATAGACCAAAGTTCATGGTCAATAATTCAGGCACAAATCCAACAATGTTTAGTCAGGTCATCTGGATGGTTTCTTATTTTTTGCTGAGATGTTTCATCCTTCATCCAAAGGACTTTTTCAGTCCGAGGAGCCACAAACTGGAGTTCAATAACCATCACACTCCCATTGTGGAAAAAAACAGTTTGCTGGTGATAAGATGGTTTTCTGGGGATCACCCTCTCCCCCGTAATTTCTTAAATAGAGCTCTTTTGTGGTTTTATTTTTGTTTAAGCCTGTATGAAGACAAATGTATATTGTATTTTTGGTGTTGAAGAGATGGCCTAGTCTCAACAGTTTGTATATAACCTGCCTAAAAAAATAAAATAAATTGAGTTCATTTTGGCATCAGTGTTTTTAAAATTAAATGCCAAACTATTTTGGTTCACAAAGCTTTCGCAGAACATGAACCCATTCAAAAAAACAAAAAAGAAAACCAAGTGTGCAGAGTCACGAACGATCCAACTCACCAGCAGAAGATGGAGCTGTACTGCTTTGTTCAGGCAGGAATGGAGAAGGTAGTGGCAGACAAACCCCCAGATAGTTCAAGTCAATGGGCATTGTGGGATCTAAAGCACTCAACTTCAAACCCACTAAAAAATGAACACGAGTCAAACATACAGCATACATTTACGTTGTTTTCCCACATGTTTAGGTGTTTGTGTGAACTCACCCTCCTGCAGCACAGGATGGATGACCTGTCTATGTTTGAAAACACTCAGATCATTCAGCAGCAAAGACTCCAGTTGAACCATCTTCTCCTCCACAGTCTCTGGATTCGCCTCCACTGAGAGACCACAGAAATGTTCTTACACACCCATTTACACCACTCTTCATTCAAACAGAAAATACCTGGGTGGCAATGTAAAACATACTGTTATACAGCTAAATAACATTTAAAAATCATAATTACTCATTTCCTGAGACTCTGTTGGCCTTGCTGAGGAAACTGGAGATTCTTTTGATGATACAGTTGCTGGCATGTCTCTGACATGAAACTCCAGCGCTTCCTGTCACACACATTAAAAAAAACATTTAAGATTAAAGTCTTTACAGTATTCAAAAAGCGTTCAATACAAAAACAACTCTTTTTGAATTCATCATGTCCTGGATGACTGAGAATCTTCACCACCGTCTTTACAGTATGTTTGGAAAGATGCTGACTGCTCAGCCTTACTTACAGCTATGCTCATTACCCGTCACCGAAAAGCCAAATAAAAAATAAAAAAAGCAATAATGCTTGTGTCTGCGTATTTGATTCATCTTTCATATTAGCAAAATATATCTTAATTGAAACTCGGAAAGTAATCATAGGCTGTACATCTAAACACATCACCTTTAAGTCAAGCCAACTCAACATGGCTGCCACAGCTAACCATAGCTATTACCCACAAATGGCTACATTATGCAACATCATATCCACAATATCCTACATCCTAGATCTTTTAGTTTGTTTATCGTAGATCTTAGATCCTTGTATACTGCTTCTTTTTATACTTTATATTTTTGCTATTTTTGAGCGTAACTGGGACCTTGAGTACACATTTTCATTCCACCTCATGTACCACGTGATATGAATGATACTTGAACTTGAGCTTTGCTTAATTTCACTGATACTGTTGAGTCAAACCTGTCTGCATGTCTATTAGCAAAATATTTTATAAATCACTGAACAAACGTTATTAAAATTCTCAGAATGTAAACTTTAGTATATTTACTAATAAACTTTAACTTTTGGATTCAACACAATTTAAAAAGGCTTCTACAGCTAACTGACCTTAGCCAAGACCAATATACTTTGCATATACCGAGTGAAAATCTGATGTGGTGGTAGCTGAGACTCACCCAGAACATAGCCTAGTAACATAGCGCTGTTTTTAAAGTTTGCCCCAAACAGCTATAACTCTGTCATTTCCCATCATAAATATCTTAGTTTAAAAATTTGATATAAGGCAGTAAGTGATGAGCATTCCTTCAAGGACTGGTAGGCCTTCAATTTAGTTCTCTAATGTACCTTTGTAGTAAATGATGCAAATAGCAGGCCTTCAATATCATCCAGCTCTGGTTGCATAGCGACAGTCAATGATGGGCTGGGGGCTACAGTGGGGGAGGCGGCAGCAGTAGAATCAGCAGTGGCAGCAGCTTTCCACATTCTTGGCCGGCAATTTATCCCCCACCGTCTCTTGACCTTCCTCCTCCTCTTTTTGTGATATGGACGTGTAGACACTGGGGTGGAGGTAGAAGAACCAGGAGTAATGGATGGTGCTAGTTGCACATTATGAGTACCAGTGACACTGCTCTCTTCATCGGGTTTGTCACCAGGATGTTTATGGAGGAGCACAATCTCACCCAGAGCATGTTTGCCTCTTATACAAGGGACATACGAGACGCCACGAACAGATAGGTCAGACATTATAGGCTGCAGCACCAATCTGGTCTCTGGTGTGGTTGATGAAAGAGAAGCGTTTACACTCGCTGTGCTGTAAACAAAACAAAATAGAAATCATTACACATAGAAAATGCTACAATACGCTGCTTCTCTTACAAAAAACAATACATTAAAATAAGATAGCAACACAACATTTGATATGAACTTAACCATCTTTAAACATTTTCTGGATGACTCATTTAGTTTCTTACAACACTTAAGAATTTTGACACACCCTTCTTAACAACATAAAGAACCATTCACTCATACGTACCTCTTCAATTCCCACATTAGTATTTAAATTGGGTTGAAATCTGCACTTTAGGGCTTGTTTAAACGTGGAAACAGAGATTTTCCGAAGTTGACTGAAAAGTCACATTTTCACTGTACGCCATGTTGAATACGTTTCCATGCCAGGTCTCTAGCTGGCGCTGTGATTGTGTTTTAACAGCACACATATGGAGTGTTTCCCCTACCATTATCCAAGGAGGGAGCCCCACCATGTGGACAGAACCGAGCGTCCCGCCTATCAAATCCCCCACCCCCCCCACAGGTTGAATCGCTCCTAGGTTTGGCGAGTAGCACAAACAGCACTCTGCTAGTCATCATTGCTCATCTATTTGCATGTGTGCAGAATAACTAACTACTGACTGCAACCGTAGTGTGCCTGTGTGACTTCACCTAAGACAATTGAAATGACGACAAGGGGCTTCCAAAAACTTCCATTCTGAGATATGGATTCAAAAATCTTAGTGGCGGAAAATAGATGTTGTGTACATGAACTGTCAAAATGCATCAGAAATGTTACAGCTTCACTTAAAAACTGTATTTTTAAACAGGACCTTAGTTTCTCACTTTACAATAGAAGAATATTAACCCACCCGTTTTTGAAATGTTGTTGTTTGTTACCATAAATCACCTCCTAAATCGTCACAGTAACATTTCAATTGGGATGAAGTTGGCACTAGTCTAGACTGTTTTCCGTTTATACCATTTCTTTGTAGAGTTCCTAGTGTTCTTGGGATCTTTTTCTTTTAAATGATCCAACTTTGGCAAAGCTACATTTGAATGAAAAATAGCCTCATGTTTGTCTTTAGAACACTTGGGTTAATTGGTCAATGGCTACCTGGTCCAGGTAAAACAAAGCCCTAATTATCAGCTCCTCGTTACTGTGCATTATAGCTGGTTTGAGGCATTTCTTGGTTTGAACTTTTGATGTGCAAAAACAGGAACAAACTCTCGGGGATTGTCAAGATGTGCAGCAAAACTGCTGGCATAGCCCTAGAGAACCTCACCGACCTTAGAAGGCGAGGTCAGTGAACAAGGCCAGGCTGATTCTGGCAGATCCTGATCACCCACTCCATGGTGAGTTCAGGTTGCTTTCATCTGGATGCAGGTATCTGCAGCCCAGATGTAGGATGAACAGACTGAAAAACTCTTTCATCCCTGTAGCAATTAGGCTTCTCAATGAACAGTGATGATTTTTGTACTGTTAATTTTAATGTCTCAATGTATTATTTAGTAAGGGTGTTTTATGTGCCTACTGACAGTGAAACAAATTGCCACTTGGTGATAATAAAGATTCTTGAACTTGAACATTGTGCTGATATGCCAAACCTGGCTTTCTCCAAATGTGGTGCTGTACAATATGGTCCAACAACTAGGGATGCATGATATTATCGGCATCGGTATATATTGGCGTTAAAGTTCAATATCGGACATCGGCCATTCCATTAAAATAACTCACTGATATAAAAGGCACTGTTTTTGCTTGCAGTGGCAGCATGTGATGACGTCACGTGCACCTACCTGATCTCACGGCGGAGAAGAAAATTCAAAATGTCTGCGGTGTGGAAGTTTTATTTTTTGTTGGTGAGGATGTCTGATTCCAAAGATTTATGAACTACGTTGAGCCTCGCTACATTGTCCCCAGTCTGAGATATTTTTCAGACGCAACTTTACCCGAATTACAAGCCGTCATTTCCAATGTCCTTGAGAAGCTAATAGCCAATAGCATTTGGGTGAGTTTTACCACAGACATTTGGACGTCGTGTTAGCCCCGTTAGCATGATTAGTCTTACAGCACAATGGATAGACAAACACTTTGAACTTAAAAAGGCTGTCCTTCATGCACAGGAGTGCAGAGGATCCCACCCTGCAGCTAGGAACCTGGAACAAGCCTCCACAAGTGAGACAGCATTGCAGGTGACTAATGCTAATGAATAACATTTAACACTTTTCATTTAATATACGTTAGAGTTATGCATATCATATGGCTTTTACTGAATATATAGCAAATAAGCCTAAATAAGAGAGCTATGTTCTGATAAAAGAAACTACTGTATATAAAACATCGGTATCGGCCAAACAAGTGTTAACATATTGGCATATCGGATATCAGCCAGAAATCCAATATTGTGCATCCCTACCAACAGCCCAAATTTAGTCTCGTCTATCCAAACAATACTGATCCAGAAGTCTTGACATTTGTTCAAATGTAACTGTAAACCTGTTTGAACATAAAATTACTAACTCCTATTAATATTAAAGGGTATTGATGCTTCCCAAACCAATTGTAGTAAGAAATGATAGCTTCTCTGAAGTTTAGTTTTTGTTAAATATTAGCAACAGTTTAATGTTTTGTTGTTGATTATCCAAGGCTGTATTCAGCTAATGTTAAAGTGCAGTAAAAACCAGATGAAACATTAACATTGCAAATTCAGATTCTTGGGGGGAAAAAAAGATACAATTGATTTTACCATGACTAAACAGACTGGTTTGTGTGCTTCCTAATTCCATATCTAATGTAAATGCAATCAAGCAAGAGAACCAATCAAGACTCGTATGCACTTTTGCATCTACTTTACTTTGATGATCTACAATCCAGGACTGTAAAACAATCTGTTGGGTGGATTGCTCATTGTTCTGCTGGTATTTGTCCCATGAGATTATTTACCTACAAAAAAATACCGTAGTGCAACCCACAGAAAACTGCTTTGTGAAGGAATGAATCTTAAAAACCAGAGCTGTAAATAGCACTGCCTGCCACGGTCTGAATTGAACTTTCTAGAACACAATGGAGATT